ACTTTCTACTATAGGCATTTTTATTTGCAAAGCTATGAAAATCCTTTTTTCCTTTATCCCAAGCCAAATCTAGATCATAATATTAAAAATTGTCATTTGTTGTGTTGCTATTAGGTACCAGACACCATGTTAAACACTTTGCATGGATTTTATCTAACCTACACAACAAACCTTTTGTTAGGGGTTATTAACCTTTTCACTGAGAATAACAGAAGCTCAGAGAAGTAACATGATTTGCCAGGCAATGGAGTTAATATGTGGTACAGACAACATTTAAATCCAAGTCTAACTGAAAACTCTCATCAACACTATACTATATAACCTTCTGGTATATGCCAATTCTCTCCTTTAATTAAAATAAAAATATTAAAAAATATATCATAACATCTTAGCTATAGCTAATGTATTACACTGTAATTCATTCTCATTTTAACTTTTCTTTATATGTAGAACAGTTTGACTCTTACCTAGAGTTGTAGCTCATTTTCCTCATAGATTTTTAATAATTCCTTCCTGAGATGCTTACAAATTATTACCCACTATATTGGAAATCTCATCTCTCTGGCACTACCATCTCCCTATTTTCTCCAAGTCTGACCTGAAAATACTGGTATAAATCAAGGATTTTCAAACTTCAGTGTGCATCAGGGTTACCAGGAGGGCTTGTTAAACAGATAGCTGGGCTCCATGCCTAAAGTTTCTGACTCAGAAGATCTGAGGTGGGGCCTAAGAATTTGCATTTCAAGAAACCTCCCAGGTGAATCTGGTGCTTCTGATTCAGGGACCTTACTTTGAGTATCATACTGGTATAGTTATGTGGCTGATCAAATGGTGTTTGTTTTCATGATGTCAGTAGAATTACAAACTAGATATGAATCCCCACTTAGTTTATGAGTTTAATTTAAAGTACATGGAGAAAAAGCAGAAAGAAAAAAAATCTGAAGAACACAAGTCACTGAAGTTATTCCACACAAAATACATTCCATCACCAACAGAAAATTCTACACGTCATTGACCCATTTTCACAGTGTACATTAGCTTATGAAAGGCTATCACAGTTATGTCACAAAGCTATTTCTCAAATTTTGTTTAATCAAGTATTTCTTAAACTCATTTTGTCACAAAACACTTTTGTTTTCTAAGTGTAACATGCTGTAGACTAATGTTATTCAGGACACACTTTGAGAAATGCTGTTCTAATCTTTTTTGCAGTAAAAGTCAGTCATCCCTGGGGAACTTCCAAAATCATAGAGGGTTGGTGTCACTTTCAACAGCATTCAAATCATACCAAGGAGTTATTTTCTCTGTACAGGATCCAGGTCTGATGTTCTCTAGTATGGCTCTTGGAAAACTGGAATTAGTTCTGAGCAAAATTATGCTACAGTTAAAATGTATTCAAGAAAAGAAATTCAGAAACCAAGATAGGGGATGCCAGTGGTCTTTCTGGGATCACTTGTTTTTATTCTAAGTGTGTGTATCGTCAGACACCTGATAGTCTGATATAGATGTTTGACTTGAATTGATGTCAGATTAAACTGTTCAGTTTGTAAAATTCATCATTATTTATCTTATTCAAGACAATGTTCTTTTCATATATGATATTTGGAAATATTGCTCAGTCTAAAGTTTCCCAACAGCAGTTAAGCAAGCTCAAATGTGAGGTCTGTCAGAAGGCAGGAATGGAATTCTGCTGGATTAAGTGACTTGGACCTATTTAGTAAAACATAGGTGCTTTCATACAATCATCCTCACTACCTTGGGCTTTCAGCTCCCTCTGACTACTGCTTATTGACCTTTTCCATAATTTCTTTTTGATCATAGGGAAGGCAGAAGTAAAAAGACTAGAGTAATTTTGCTTTAATTGTAACATTTTCCATTACACCATTAGCCTCAAGCAGGAAGCCAGGTCTAGAGATTGATTTGAGTGTTATCCCCATAAAGCAGAGGTGGAGTACAGGATTAGTTATACACATAAAAACTCCACTGCTGATGCTAATGAAATTTTAGTGTTAAATTTATGATTACTTATATTGTTTAATATTTTAAGATAATTATGTACATCAATTTTGATAAATTAATTACTGATCTGTTTTACTTCAGTGGTTTTAGGTAGTTAAGCTTTTCAAAAATCAGGCCTACAGCCTCCTGGTATATTCATATTTGCATTTCAAAGCTTACTATTTCACAAAAATCACACTACTTCATCTGTGAATAATATATTTAAAAATCTTACACCTGGGTAGTATATTACAACTAGCAGGCACTTTAGCATATGATCCTAATGACAATTTTATGAGGTAGGTAAAATCAGGACTTTTTCAGATTGCCTTCAAAACAGCTCCATCAAAATATAAATCTCAGTCATTTTTTTAATCACCAAAAATGTATAGGCCAGACAGTCTTCATATTCAGTCTATCCCTTACTCTCACCATCAATGTGGGAAGTTTTATTTTCTACTTTATTCACATTTTTGCTTTTTTGAATTTTTAAAGAATGAATAATTCTTATAATCAGCAACAGTAAAGATTTTTAAAGTCTGTTAGACTGAATTAGCTTCTAAGTGGATATTAGCTACAGGGAAACCAAAACCATCATCATAAGTTAGTCTTTTTTCCCCCCACAAAGTAGCTATGTCATTGAATGAAACAAAACAAGTGCCAGAAATATAATTAAGGCTTCTGTGAACAAGTCTAGAGCTGAGAATAAGAAATCAACTCTTACTATCCCAGCCAACAATGTTAGGATAGCACAATCATGAAGCTTTCAGAATGCACTATGTCAATCCCTTGGGTTTTCAAGTAGAAAATAGGGCAAATATATTTGTATGTATTTATTAATAAAAATAGGTGAGTATTATCATTTGCATAAAGGAGAAATAAAACAATTGTAGATGCAGATCATTGAAGACAACAGTTCTCAGAGAAGGAAGGGAAACGTTGGTAAGAATAATTGATAAACCTATCAGAGGTGTCAATATCTGCTTTGTAGTTAGATGTGGTTTGCCTGCCTGTTAGTGTCTAATTTCATTTTTTATATATCATGGCTGAGCTTCAAGTTCTCTCTCCCTCATAACCAGGGATGAAGAAAAGCGATGGATGAGGCTCAGGGAATAGATGAGTATGCCAGTTTCACACATTAATTTTTTCCTAATGCATCAGGGTGGCTGCCTCAAAATAACATATTCAAGAAATGAAGAAGGTAGGTATAGTCACCATTTTATGGATGAAGAAATTTTTATTCTTCATCTCAATCCCTTCTTTTATAGGCCACCTCTTGGCTGCAGATATTAATAGCATTGTGTATATATGTGTTTGCCTGTATTTTAAATTCAGATTTCAACAATCAGAGCTGAGTGGCTGACCCCAGTTAACACCTAGTCCTTGTTCACAGATAAAGTTTATTCAAAATAATATTGCTAATGATACTAACAAGTTATTGATCTGATATATTGTCAGACTGTTTGGCAGGTCTCATGTTTGTAATTAAATTTTCATTGATTCTTGAGGAACAGCATTAAAATGAACAAGAATTAGATTTGAAAGCTCTGCACACAACACACAAATACAAATGTAAATATATAATAAATTATTTTAAAGAGTTTTTAAGGTCTACTTTTAACAGTTTGCATACTGCTCTCCCATAAAAATATCCAAAGATTCCTTTTAAAGTCACTTACAGCTAGCAATTCAAAACTGTTTATTTTTATGTAGTTTTTCCACCAGAAGATTTATTAGATGGCCAGTTGCAGAACATAATTTCAAAATTTATCTAGCAGTATAATATAGTCAATGAGAGATTAGACTCTTTTAGTGTTGCCCAGACCCACCATTTACTATTTATTTACCTGAGGGAAATTTTTCAACCTCTCCGTGTCTGTGCCTCAGTTCCACAGCTACAAACACTCATGAAATTGTGAGGGTGACAATCCACAAAAAGCTTCTTGCACAGTATCTGGTCGTAGTAAGTGACCAGTAAGTCACTACATTTTGCAGCAGATAAAAGGCTGGCTAGTCAGCTTAATGATATTGTCCTTCTCTCTAGAATGTTGGTAGTGTACTAGGTTCTATGGTATATACATATATATACACACACTAGTATATATAGACACCTCTTATCTGAAGATACCCTTAGTAAGTATTCTAGAGTTCAGTGGTGCTGAAGTATCTTGCAGGGCAAAACCTGGTGGGTAAGTAGACATTATGATTGTAATTTCAAGTACTAATAAATACAAGTGCTGAGCACGTTTAAATCTTACTATATTAGGTAAGGCACCTCTCAGGAGTTGCATCTCCCTTAACAACTAGATATTAAAAAGGCAATCAAGCTCAGTATACCTAGGGAACGAATAAAATCAGCATATACTCTTTTGTAAAAATGCAAAACAACATACAAATGTTAAAACGCAAAGCATTTGTGGAATGGTTAGATTTTTCTTGACCAACCCTCCAAGTGTAGGTAGCAATTTAATCATTTAGACAATTTTCCTTAAATGTATGCTCAAAAAGCTATACCTTTAAGCCTGGAGCAAGATAAACAGGTCCATAAATTAGAGTTGTTAGAAGGAGACCCCATAGCAATCTTCCTTAAATGCAGTTACCAGCTGGATTTTGCAAAGAATGCAAATTTATCTGTGAAAATTAGTGTATCCCTAGGCTAATACCTTATATTTTGGGCTGGGACTCTGGATGATAATACTTATGCTCGTATCTACCTTTACTACGTTTAAAAACCATAGGAAAGCCACTTTCATGTCTTTGCCCAGCTGCAAAGTGAATTTCAAAGACTGTGGACTTGGAAGCCTGGCTTCAGCCCTAAAATTCCTCATTTCTGCCTTTTCCAGACTCCAGACTCCCTTAGCTACTGGACAGCCTTATAGCTGTCTCCGTGGCCAGGGCCTCTCCAGGCAGGTAAACCTGACCGGTGAATCCGCCCCTTAGGGGCGTGTCAGTACCATTTCCTGGAGCAATCTGACAGGGTGGCTCCACTTTCCATTTGTGCTCAAATACTTTGCTGCCTCTGTAGCTGCCAGACCTGCTCCTGCTGCTCCTCAGGTAACTCTCATCTCACCCTGGCACCACTATAGATATGTGTGCTTGCCTGCCTGTCTTCCTACCCCTTTCTTTCATGATCTCTCTTTTTCTCTGTTTGTTGCTTAGGGAGAGCATCTGGGGGGAGTACCCTGCTGACCACCGAGAATATAATGAGCTCAAGCTACTGGAACGAGATGAGCAGCAGCAGCTGTGGGACTCAGCAGCCCCCAAAGGGGCTGCAGTGCCAGCCCCAACACTACCACTGCTACCATCAGTCAAGCCAAGCCCAGCAGTCTCCAGAAAAAAACGTAGTGTATGAACGAGTGAGGACCTACAGTGGGCCCATGAACAAAGTAGTTCAGGCCTTGGACCCCATCGGCTCACGGGAAGTGCTCTCCCCTCTCAAAACTGCTTCCTCCTACCAAAACTTGGTTTGGAGCGACCATTCCCAGGTACCACAAAGACAGTCGTGCCAGTGTAGAAAGGGGAAGGCTTAAAGCTCATTTCTTTTCTTTCTACTTCCTTGTCTCTGTTCTACAGGATGAAGTCTCTTGGTGGATTACAGCTACATATGCAATGCTTAGCAACTCAAGCTCCATCTCTTGCTGTTCTTTCATCTACTAGTGCCTGTGGTTGTTAACCAGTTACAAAGACTGTCATAATCTAGAGTATGGGATGGTTCATTTTTTATTAGATTTGATTGGAATATTTGATCTGAGGTATTCTTTTGCCACTACTGCAAAGCACTCCTCAATTTGAATATAGTAATTTTTGTAGACTCATTCCCACTGATTCACTTCATATCAGAAGTAAACAGGGCTTTTTTTTGGTATCACATATGGTGGTGTACAGACAATGGAATGTATGGAGTGATGAGCAATTGTCTGTTCAGTAAATAGCACACTGCTCCAGGATGAGTGACAGGCACAAATGTCAGAATTGTCATGTGCTTCATTTTCTGAAAATGATACAGTGGTTCTTGTACAACAAAGGTGAATAATTTATGAATATTGATAGAAGGAGTACTGAAAGAGTTGGTATAGGATTGAAAAAAGCAAGATGTGACTGTTAAATGAAAGCTAGAAAAGGTGGAACTCTTAAGACACCCTTTAAAATGAAATCAATTTGTTATTTTAGCATCAGTTTCTGTGCTAATGATCTTACCAATGAATGTAAAAGAATATCACAAAACTATATAAAATTAACAGCTCTATATGTTTTTTATTCTTTGACTATTTACATTAAATTTGCATGTATTTAAGCTTTGTGGAAACTTCTGTCCAAACTGAAATTATGTTGTCAAGATACAATTTTTTGCTGTAAAGAGCTCAAAAAGCAACCATTGGGATATTACCCTATGTTGCACTATTACATTAGGAATCATATGGATTATTTTCCCCCAAAATACAATTTAAAGTAGGATATGAAGCATCATTTAAAAAGTATGTAATAAAACTATTTTCAAAATAATTTTTAAAGATCTGGATAACCCAGCAACTACAAACGCCACAATTTTACTCTCTTATTTTACTCTTACTGTCGTCTGAAGGGAAAAGCTATGAAGAAAAAATATCCAGGATTTACAGTCAATAATTTCCTAGTTGAAAAACTCTGTCTATATTGACGTCAAGGGGAAGAGAACTATAAAGGTCAGAAGTTTGTGTAAGTGATAATAGTAATGCAAATGCACATTCCAATATCCAGTATTAGGGTGTTAATGAACAACAAAGTGGGTGTCACCTATGTTCCTTAGTCCAAAAACAAGTTACCACTACCACAGGAATGTTAAAATCACCCTATCTATCATAGTTAACACATAAACTTCTTTTCTTGTAAACTTCCTAGTAAAAGAAAGATAAACAGACAAAAATTTAAAAGCTGTGATTTGGCAAATTATAAAGATTGACTACAGAACAGTTTTTAGGAACACAATCTACTGTATGCTCCTTAGTTCAGCATTCCATTTTAATATCCTTTCCTTCTTTCTACCTGATATTTGCTAAAGTGATCTTTGTAAGACGATCTCTGTCCTGAAACATAGTTGCCCGCAGAGGAGTTCATAAAGAACTTTAAGGGCAGAAATTATGGCCACAGAAACTGGTGTGAGATCAATCAGAATGCAAGAGATTGTGAAGTCTGAAGTTAGTTATTTGAAAGAAAGAAAAGTAAGGACTGGGTGAGGATGAGGAGTGTAAGATTTTAGATACGCGGTAAAGGAAAAAAATAAGAAGTTTCATTCCCTTACTGAAACAAGAAGAGATAAAATTTGACTATAAAATTTCAAACTGAGTTAGATATCAAAGGGCATTCACAAATCCGCTAAATGATGATTAGGCAAGAAAGCTTTTAGATAGACGCCACAAAGAATGTTACTAGGTAACCCTTCTGTTTTATTTTCCTTTCTCCTGTTGCTAGGATAACATTCTGCAAGGTAGGACTAGATTTGATCTGAAATTACCTTAATGCTAACAAAATGGGTAAGCTGTGGCAGCAGTTTTGTTATATACCATGCACAGCACAAGGAAGCTGTACATGTTACACCAAACCCTTTCTTATTTGATTGGTTTTTGTTTTGATAAAGTCTCTTCTTAATATGCCATGTTTCAGAGACATTTTGAGTTAGTATGTAGCGATTACTCTGATGCTAGAGTTGACCAATTGTTGGTCATCATAAATTCAATTAAACTTTTACATTAATTGTTTTTAGTATTTCATGTTTGAATGACTCTCAGAGAATTCATAAGATTTAAAAATATATATGATTGCCAGTAGTAAAATACGTTCCCTTCGAGAAGCTGAAATTGATCCCCCTCAGATTTCCTTCCTGAATCTTAATTTCAGCTTATATAGTAGACATTTTAAATTTAACCAAATGCTTTTTGCAGCCCTTTAGTATTTTCTATTTTTAGCTTTCTAGTACACGTATTTCCTCCATTGCCTTCTTGTGCACTAAAATGGTGTTTATAGACATAGACATATTTTAAATTTCCAGATATAATGTTGCTTTGTTTCTTGTTTACAATTGATCAGATGTATTTTATGATTCTCTTAGTTAATTTTTTGTCTGATTGATAGTCTTCTCAAAGAAAATTGAATGTAGAAACCAGTTGGTGGTGAAATTATCTAAATTGATGTAGACTTAAAATTACTAGGTTCATCCATATGTACAGGTAAAATCAAACACAGGTGTAATCAAGGGCATAGATGCATTTTAAAACCGAATGCAGTCTTGTAAATAAATGGAGTTCTAGAAACTACAGTTGTCCCTTGGGCAATGCGGGGGTTAGAGGCCCAACCCTTGTGCAGTCAAAAATCCACATAGGACTTTAGACTCCCCCAAAAGTTAACTACTAATAGCTTATTGATGACAGGGAGGCTCACTGATAACATAGAGTCAATTCACACATATTTTGTCTGTTATATGTATTCTTACAATAGAGAGAAAGGAAAATGTTTTCTTGAATTGTCTCAAATCTCCCAAAAATTTTTCCAATATTTTTATTAAAAGAAATCCACAAATAAATGGACCTGTACAGTTCAAACCCCTTTGTACATAAAATAAGAGAAAATTTAAAGATTTACAGCTCAGTCTTTTAAAAAGCTTAAATATTACCTACCATCATTAACTCAAAATGAAATACTGCTTTAAATGAATAGCATTGATGTGAATTACTCATTGGGCATATGCATTTGCCTTTCCATTAACTTAGCTTTTTATGAAGTTCAAGACATTTTCCATGTATACAGAGGAGCTCTATTATGTGAGAAAAAGGGATCAAAAGAAAATATATTTTTTAATACCAGTCATTCAGTGAAAACATATTTATTAAGTGCCTGCTATGTAGGAAGGGCTGTGAATATCTAGATAAATGCAATTTTCTTACCAGGGAGAGTCCATGTTGAGGACAGATATATAGAACCAGGTCTATAGGTGTTCCATATGTTTTTATTTCATTTTAAAACATTGTCTTGTATTTTGGTAATCAATATTTTATTGAATAAAACATGTTTTAGTTCAGGAAAGGACTTCTTTATGTATGGGTTACCATTCTTTACAATTCGGAACTTGCAACCAAATTTAACTCTAGAGAGTAGCCCAGGGGAGAATATGTGTTCATGAATGGCTTCTCCTTTCAATAATTATTCAGCTTGGGCTTATCTTTGTGTACATGTGTTTTTTTTCCTTTTACTTTGGTTACAAAGATTGTGAATAGCTCCCTTTCTTTGCCAGGATATCTATACACTATTAGAAAATCTTCCTGTTCTGTGGGGAGTAGTGTGTTTTGATAAATTGTTGTTCAAGGGTGTGGTCGCTAAAGTGAATGATTGTTCAAGGAAGTAGGTTGTCTGAAAAAGGAATGAGATCATAAGATAAAGAGGCCCGTATTTTCAGCTTTATTCATCCCTTTTGTGCTTACAGTTAAAGGTAGCTATAGAAATTGTGAGTGCAACTAATTGCTGGGTGAAAATGCCCATGCCACTTGTTTCTCATTTAAGAGAGGTCTGATCAATTGCTGGGCCTGTGTTCAGGCAACGGCACGCACAAGCTGTCATGGTGCGTGTCTGTGGCAAGATGGGAATGGGTGGGGAAAGGGGATGGGAGATAAACTTGTTTATTGTTCACCTTTAACTGTTGTGATCCAAATTTTTTTCTTGACAATTAATGAAAACACAATTGGGTTATTTGCCATGCCCTTCAACTTCATTTAAAAGTGAAAACTTTTCTAAACAAGTGCATTTGAACTAACTCTTTTCATACCAGTAGCTATCTCATTAGTGATCCTTTTTCGATTTCCAATGGAGCATTTATACTTCTAGAAAAGACAAAAAGCATTCACTGCAAAGAGAAATGTGTAGTTTATTTTATCTCCTAGTTTCCTGCAGGAAAAGAAGAGAAAAAAATCCACGAACAAGTCTCTTAAATGAGGGATATCCATTGGAGGGAAGGGATGAGGGGAAGGAGTTCTATTACTAGTACATTCTACTGCTTTCTTTACATGAGAACATGATCACAGATTTTATCCTCAATTAAGGAAGTGCTTGTTTCATTTAAAGAAAGGTCATGATCATTTAAATGTTTTTCCTGTATAAAGTTCATCTCAACAGTACCCTAAGGCAGGTATTTCACCATGTTACTGGCTTTGAAAAGTTCTAAAGAGCATCTTCCATACTACTCGGAATTTGTTCAAATAGCAGTTTGCCTTTGCAAATTCTGTCAGCATAAATGTCAGGCTATTTTCAAAGATACTGCCTTTTTTGAAACTGTTTCTAATTACCACTATTATTACATTCAGTGATTCTCATAGTTATTAGGACTGAAAGAAGCACCCAGAAGGCCCCCATCGTTTTTCTTCTTGGAACATTATATTATTTATTAATTTTTAAATAATGTTTTAAAATTCAAATTAAACATGAAATAGTTCCATGTTCATTCCAAAAAGCTTACAAATAT